AAATATTATTCAGAGAAGTATGGGGAGATGGTTTGCAAAGTTGGGGCGTGGGGTATATTTTGTGGTTGCTGGAGAGAGAGAATCGATTATATTAATTAATTAATTAATTGAATAAGTAGATAATGAAAAGACAATTGATCAGTTAATTGATCATTCAATTACATATTCACAACAGCCAGACCACCATCTATCAACGCCAGCAAAGTCATCAACAGCTGCAGCAGCGGCGACATCAGCAGCTGTGATAACAACGACACCTGGAAGACAGCCGTTAACTTCGACGACAATCAAACAGCAGCAGTCCTTTTTAAATTCAATTGAGCAGGGCAGGCTCGGCTCTTTCCACATGGACAGCCCCATACCCCAAGAGTTTAGCGCCTCGACTTTTTCCAACCTTGCTCTTGCTAACACTACTGCTCTTAAAGAAAGGTGCTTTTCGTCAGGAGTTATTTACTTTTTGGTAATAATATTAATAACAATAATAATAATGATGATGATAATAATAATAATAATGGTAATAATAATATTAATGATAATTACGATAAGGTTTATAATAGTGGCAATAATAAATAATTATAGAAAGCCCCATCCGCCCACAGGTCTCGCACTGACACAAACAGAACACTGGCCAGTTTGCAGAAGAGTTTCATTGGTGGAATCTCAATCGAAAATATCGAAAACTTACAACTGGGTGATCCTTCTCTGGATAGCAATTTCATTGAGGAGCAGCTCAGGGAGTCTACAATAAATGGAACAAGTTTTTGTGAAGATGTTGTGGCGACTACTGCTGCTACTACTGCCGCTACAGCTGCTATTGCTGGTAATAGTACCACCGCTGCCACTGCAATTTCTAGTGGAGGAGGACGAGTGTATAAAGATATCGTAGAATTTAATAGTAACAGAGGAACTAGGATTGATTTTTACAATATGCTTTTGAAGTGTGTTGTCGTTGTTTTGTTTCGTTATTTATTTTTCATTATTTGTCATTTCTGTTAATTATTTATTCAATCTATCTATCTATCAATATATCTATCTATCTATCTATCTATCTATCTATCTATCTATCTATCTATCTATCTATCTATCTATCTATCTATCTATCTATCTATCTATCTATCTATCTATCTATTTATCTATCTAAATATCTATCTATCTATCTATCTATCTATCTATCTATCTATCTATCTATCTATCTCTATCTATCTATCTCTATCTATCTTTCTTTTTCTTTCAACCAGGAGACTATATGAGGCCAGACGCGTCAATCAAATAGTGAAGTTCATGGACATTTGTCCGACCAATCAGAGCAGACGTGTTGCTGCTAGGTGCTTTGAATATTTGCTTGGTAATATTTATACTGAATTTTTGAAAATTTTTCGTGTGTTCGTGCGTGCGTGTGTGTGTGTGTAAAATCAAATCTGATGATAGTAAATCTAACAGGTGGTTGCAAAGAGAACCTTTGGAGATGCAGACAGCAGATAAGTTTTGGAGATATTGAGATCTACTTGTGAATTGCACAATTTATAAATCTTTGCAAAAGAAAAAAAAATTTTATATCTGTTTATTCGACAATTTTATATTTTTCTGACGTCATTTTGTAGCTTTTGATTTGTTTAGGTTTTAATTTTTATCATTTTAATATCATTTTTTTTATATAATTTTTTTGAAATTTTTTTCAAATTTTTTTGAAACAAACTGCTCATATATCCTTGCGAAGCGGATTGGCGAGAATGGCGATTTAACTTTATGCAACGTTTTTATTGTTTATTTCATTTTGCTGTATTCAGTTTTATACCCTTGTTTCGTTATGTTTCTAAATTGTTTCGCTATAGTTATGTCAGTCATTTGCTATTTCGTTACATTATATTCCTACTTCTATTACGTTGTTACATTTTTGATTCAAGTTTTTTCAGTTTATAGTTTTTTCAGTTTATAGTTTTTTCAGTTTATAGTTTTTTCAGTTGAGACGTGTTTTTTTTTTTCAAAAAAAAAAAAACTTCATCAGTGCAAATTTTTCTAAAATGCCGAGTTGAAAAAGTGAACTAAACCCCTAAAACTATTGAACTGTTTTGCACAAACTGTGAAATCAGCTATCACATCGTCAAAACTCCCTCTCTTATCATCATCTCCAAACGTTTTTCTTAATTCTGTTATTGGGGTGCCTGAGAAAGTTGGGTAGGGCCTTCTTAGGACCATTATTAAGAACTGGGCTGATCTCTTTGAGTAGCTCGCACGATGTAACGTCGTTCATTTTTAGGAAGTTTTTCAGGAAGATGTAGAGCTGAGGTGACCAGTCTTCGCTGGAGTTCAGTACGTGCAGGGCCTGTCTGTACTTAATTAGCTGTAAGTGTGTGTGTGTGTGCGTGCGTGTAGTTTATATGGTATTATTTAAAGATTTTGTTACTCAAATTCTATTATTACGTGTGTACTTCCATATCACTCGCACAACATATTTAATAATTAGGTCGTATTCGAGGGTAATTTATCGAAAAAATATATTCAAATGGTCAATAAAATTGTTAAAATGGCTGAAAAAGGTAGTATTGTATCAAAAAATTTCGTTCGCAATTTAATAATTTTCCAAATTATTGAAATTTATTCTAATATAAATGGCCGAAATACTGACCACTTGGATGACTGCGGCATTTCTTTGCATGCACTTCATGACCAAGTTGGAAAAATCTTTATAGCAGTTTACACTGGCGTCGAATTTTTTACTTATTCTGTGTCAAAATATAAATCAATATTTCACAAAGACACTTTTAAATAATTAAACTTTATTTAACTTAACTTAATTGTATGTAACGACATTTGAGGCCAAATTATTTTATGTTTGACACTAAACATTTAAAAGGTAAGGGACTAATAAATCATACTTAAAGGACCCTCACACATTTTAAAATCCAGTCCTGATACTTAAATACATTTTTATGAATTAATTTTTGTAGATTGATTAAAATTTGAAAAGTTTTCAACAAATACTGCTACTTCTTTGGGTTCAACTCCCTTATATCATGCTCGATTTTAACGAAATCACCCAAGCACCTATCCCAATGGTAGTACAACTTCTTGGCTTTCGACATATTTTTAAGCTTAAAATAATAATTTAATTTTTTTGGTAAAGTAGAATCAGTAACCTGAAATATTTCTCAATTTTTTCAAAAAAAAACATTAAAAAATTATAAAATACAAAAATTGTAATGAGCAGGCTATAAATATTTTAACGACTAAATTATAAAAATTGAATAACTAAAAAACCCTTACATCTTCGTTCGTAGAGTAGGTATCAAATTGTTTCATCTTCAGCTGTTGCAGCAGCTCGCATCTCGTCTTCGTAGCCAGCTTCAATTCCTTCTTCAAACTCATCACCTCACAAACCAACTTCCTCTCTTCCGGATCTTCCGGCCAATGATCCTCGTCATCCGTGTCATCATCTTGCACGGTTTTGATCAAACTCAGCTGGAATAGATGAATTAGAGATTGAAGTTCATTCCCTTGCTGTTTCAAATCCTCAATAGATTCGCAAACGCTCGTGTGCTCTTTCTTATTCTTTTCAAATTCTTTCCTGATCTGCTCGATCAGAATACGCATGGGATTACAGGAGTCTGTTTGGACGCTTGCATTGCGATACTTTCTCGGGAATAAGTAACGTTTTTTCGGGGTTTTCCTCATTAAAAATGAGATAAAATTAATTTTTCTTTATTGAAATGAATCAAGGATTAAGGAGATTAGTAAAATGATTTTACTAGTTTATAATAATATATATTACTAAGGTTTTTTAAAGAATCATGACCATCCTACATTGAATTTTATAGCCCTATTACATTATACATCTATTTTATTACTATGGTTATATAGTGAGTAGTAGTATATGTAGTATAAAGTATATAAAATCTCTTCAAATCTAACAAAACACTAGTTGTTATTAAATCATTAATCATTTATTTACAAGTATCAGAGAATGTTTTTTTTTATAAAATATTGTGACGTGAGTTATTTTTTTATCATGTATGAAAGTTTGTGTGTGTGTGTGTGTGTGTGTGTGTGTGTGTGTGTGTGTGTGTGTGTGTGTGTGTGTGTGTGTGTGTGTGTGTGTGTGTGAGGAAGAAGTAAAAAAATACAGTAGTTATACGGGCATAATTTTAAAATTTTGGATTTTTTGAAAATGAAGTCCGTTGTATACATTTTATCGTTTCCAACAAGTTATGTTTATATGAAGGACTGCTGACAAATTCCTATTTGTAGGGTATTTCAAGTCATTCATTAAAACTATAATTTCAATGTTGAATGTATGCGTTCCAACCGGATACAAGTTTTTTTTTGTCGGCAACTTTTCTTAAATTATCAACGAAAAAAAATTTATAAAATTGTTAGGATTGGCACTTTGTTGCGAAATCGTTGGCGGAAATGACGTCATTTTAAGAGTAAAAAATATTGAAATGTGCGATGGTAAATTAGCCGGTATAAACATTAAATTGGATTCCTATAAAATAAATTTTATCAATTATTATTTGCAAACAAAACTAAATAAATAAACAGATAGATAGATAGATATGCGTAATTAATAAATATATTTATATTTTTATATTTATACATTTAAATTGTACAATTAAAGTGAAGTAAGGTGTGTGGCGTCAAATTATTTTGAATTCTCTCCGGACAATTTGAACCGCGCGCGAACATACATATGTAACACTGATTACTGTTGGTTCTATAAGGAAGTTATATAATAAATATGTATATGTATAAAGTATTTAGAATCCATGTATACAAATAATTACTAAAATTATATCTTTAGATAATAAGAAATACAGCAGTTCCAACCGGTCAATCAGAATGTTTCGAAGTTTGAGTAGCTCTGTTGTGAAGAATGTATATTAGAGTATTACATAAAATCAAAAACCAATGACATTAAATCAATAAACTTTTTACTGATGTGAATGATTGAATTGATTGTAAGTATAATATATAAAAGAAATGAAATAAGAGAAACATAAATACTTAAAAATATTATTACTGAATGCAATTTCGTTTCGTATAAAAGTTTTCAATGAATTAAATACAAATTCATGAGAAGACTTTAATAATTTTCAGCTAAATTTAAAATATCTTCTTCCAAAGCTATAAATCGCAAAATTTTCAGAGCCATCAGATTATAGCATCAAATATAATATAAAATATATAACATTAACAAGATTAAACAAAATACATCTAAAATTATTAAATTATAAAGTCACATCAAACGCAATTTATACAAAATTAAAACATATATTAATAAATGCACAAGAAATAAAAATGAGTCTGTTTCCGTTACATGCTAAAATAATTTAAAATCTACATCAAAAATTGGTTCAAATCAAATAGAACTTAAAAAAAACCATTAAAAAAAGTAAAATTAAGCACAATGTATCTTAGCTTTTTTGTGTTTGGCCCTACAAACTGAACTGTGTACACCATAGGTTAATTTATTTTAATGTGGCGTTGATGTGGTGAGATAAGTTGAGAGTTTATCATTATATTCACTTAATACGCACGCACATATATGAAAATCTATAACTTGGTAATGAAAAACTTAATGTTTTGGGTATATAAAATCTTGAATCGACTGAATGATTGAATGAATGAATTAATAATACTAATACTAAATATTGAACGAATAATACTAAACACGGACTATAGTTTGATTTTTGTTAATATGGCGTTGATTTTTTTGTCTATGCTATGAATCTGAGCGACGCCATTTTCAAAATTTGCTGTAGAAGACGTGACTCGCGCTTAAATAAATAAAAAATAGATTAATTTTTTTAATGAATATCTTCTATTTTAAAAACGTTTTTCATTTACTGTTACTATTTTTGAGCCGTAAAACTGATTGTAAGTTTGATTAAACTGCTACTATATGTTTTTTTTTCAATTGGTTTCATTCAGTTTTTTTTATTTTTAATTTTTTTAATATTTAAGAATTTAGAGTGAAAAATCAAATCAAATGGGACAATATTTTTATAAAATTCAAGTTTTACATTATCGTTCACATCTGGTCCGCTGTTGCTTATTGGAGATCACAGATCAGATTCATCAAATTTTATTTTTTAACTTCAGACTTAAGTCTTTAAATTTAAAGAGTTTAAACAAACTTTTCTGTAAATTTAGTTTTTATTGCAAATTTGATTGTCAACTTTCTAAGTTAATTTGCATCAGATTTTCTTAACTTTGATTTGTTAATTGGTGACTAATCCTATGATATAATAAAATCATCAGGTCTTTTAATTTTATAAATTTAATCATAAGGTCTTGACAGAGTAGAATGCCCTTCTAACTTTTTTGGTCAGAACTGTACATCAAAGTGTCGCTGTCCACCTGGGGACAGTTGTAACCCAAGCAATGGTGCCTGTTCCTCTAATACCTGTCTGCAGGGCTGGGGAGGATCTGCCTGTCAAAAAAGTTATTTGTTTTAAAGAATAAATAAATAAATTAATTTATTAATGAGGATGGACACACACATGAACAACGGTTATGATGAATGACGATGACTTTTGGTATAAACCTCAAAAACTAATTTATATTATTATTTACATTTTCACATGAACATTCTCTAATACTAATTAATTAATCAATTAATTAATTATGTTTGTCAATCATTCAATTAAAAAAATAATTAACCTACCAATCAACCAACCAACCAACCAACCACCACTCAAGGAATACCATTTGTTGATGACCCACCCCTTGCTTCGTGGGATTACAAATCAGGTGCCATTGTCATCAGTTGGAAACCGTGGTTACCTGCATTCAAGTTCAATGACAAGGGCAAATATAATTTTTTAACCGATAGAAGTAACAGCATTAATAATAATAGTAGTAGTAATAATATTAATTTTAAATTCAAAAGTGATTTAAAAGCCACTGGAGTTAAGTACATAGTACAGGTTTTAGTGAAAAGGGATGACCGCTATCATAATCTTACTCATAGTCATTATCA